AGGTCACACATGAATCATTCAACCTCCCTCATCTATCTGTGGCTGCACACACAACAGAAAGCAGGAGACCAATCACCCCACCAGATGAAAGACAGGCACCAGTTGGCTGGGGTTAGAGGGAGACAGCAAGCCCTCCCTCCCAGAATGGGGTTGAAGCCCTTCCTGAACATGGGAAACAGTTATTTCAAAAGTTGTAATTTTGTGATTTTTCAGGGGTGATGTCATCTGGCAAGAGGTACTAATAATAGCATTGTGTCAGTTCATTGTGAACGGAAGGTACAGTCAGGCTTGCCTTTCTTGTAACCCACATAACAGACTTTGAAGTAAAAAAAAAAAAAAAAGGTACATTTTCACCCGTCAGCCCACTTCCTCATTATTATCTTCACTCCCAGTTGAAAGACTTCTTGTAGAATCATCCCAACTCTTCATGGGGTCTCCATGCAGTATTACGTACCTCCTTCCTGAAGGGCATCAAATTTCCTCCCTCCATTCATCCCTTTAATTCATATAATATCCACGCATCGTGTGCTAAGCAAAGGCACTATTTCATGTACCAGGGACACAGAGAAAGAAATGGACTTTCATTCTTTATAACCCTGCTCAGTGAACCAGAACAGGGATTTTTGACCTTCCCAGACCAAGGTTTGGGTATCACTCATTCCCTCTGAATCCCTCATGACTAATTTAAGTATCTACTGGGTAAAGTATACTATTGGACTGTCAGAAGAATGAACAATTCTGTCTTGGAAGAAGTACAGCCAAAATACTCCTTGGAAGCCAGGATGGTGAGACTTGATCTCATGTACTGTGGGCATGTTATCAGGAGGGACAAGAAAAAGGACCCCATGCTTGGTTAAGCAGAGCGTCATCAAAAAGAAAGAAGACGCTCAATAAAATGGTTCAATACAGTGGCTGCAACAATGGATCCATATAGCACAGGATGGTGCTGGACTGAGCCGTGTTTCAATCCATTATTTGTATATGGTGGTGGTGGGGTGGCATGGAGTCAGTTCATTATGCATATACAGGGTTGCTGTTAGTTAGAACTGACTTGTTGATACCTAGCAGTAACTGGCTAAAGAGTTGCCCTGAATTATTTCTTTTTCTTTGATCGTGATCCCCTGCTAAACCATGAGTTCCCTTTGGCAATGACTGCATTTCATTCATCTCTGGATCATCTTCACCAATCATCTCACAGTGACTGACACATACATAGCAAATGCTCAATAAATATGGGAAAGGCAGACACAGGTCCTGACCTCAAGGAGTTTATAATCTAATACTATAGGCAGACATGCTAATAAAAATGTATATTGCTGTTTTTAATGATCTAACTGGCTATGTACAATGTACACAAGGTCAGATATAAGTCAATGAGAGGGCAGAAGTGTTGGGCTGCACCTGGATAGGCAAAGGGAAAGACAAAAGGGGTGAGGGGCAGGAGCATTCCAAGATGAGAGGGTAGAGAGTACACAAGACATAAAGTAGCAAAAGGTGTTCAGGGAGGAGTTCAGCTCAGCTGGACTCGGCAATGGGAAGACAGGGAGGGCGGGAAGTAGGACAGGTTCTTACATGCCACCCAAAGAAGGGATCTGGATTTTCCTTGTAGGTGATATGTTTACAGCATGAGTGTAATGAGTTTTTGTGAGACGGTAACAGTGACAATTAGAAAACATGGCAGAGCAGGCTCTACACCATTTCAGGCTAGCTCCATGGGACAAGTGGGCAAGGGTGGGAAGGGAGAATGCGCTAAGAACGCTAGGCCTCAGGCCTGGGAAACCGGTTATGAAATCCAGGCGTTAGCCTTGGCTCTAAGCTAAGGACTTCTTATTTCATAACTTTGCTCTACCTAGCAGTTTTGAACCACTGACCTTGTGGTTCACAGTCTAGTGATTATCCTACATTGGCATGGTGCTGCAGAATAAGCACTGAACTGTGAGCCACAAGATTGGCAGTTCAAACCCAATAGCCATTCCTTTGAAGCCCTGTACAGGATTGCTATGAGTTGGAACCCACTCAACAGCATTTAACAACATCATTAAAAGAATGTGGTACATGGTGGCTCCATAAGATGAGGACTGAACTGTGAATCACAGGTCCCTGGTTCAAGTCCATCAGCCACTCTATGGGAGAAAGTTGAGGATTTCTGCTCCCACAAACATTTAAACCCTCAGAAACCCTATACATGGTTATTATGAATCAGAACCAACTCAACAGTACTTAACATTAGAAGAATGAGTAAAATGCATGAAGGCAGTTTATGAAAGACACAGTTTATTATATAAAATATGAAAATAGGTTCTTCCTTACTAATAAGAGAAAAAAACCCTACAAAGCAAAAAATACACCTACATGTTAAAGAAGAAATGGTTAAAGGTATAGCCATACGATAAACTAAAATGCTATCATTTAAATTAGAGTTTGAAAACTGAGTTCTAAGAAAAATATTTTAAAGAACTGTATGGATTAAATTTTATTTTGAAAAAACAGAGAAACATGAAATAAAATATTAATAGTAAAACTATTCTCTGTGTTGACATTAGTAATTCTTTTGTACTTTACTGTATTTCTCAGGGTCGTTATGGATTGGACCCAACTCGATGGCACTTAACAACAACAACAACATATTTCTCAGGTTTTATGCAACAATATTCACTAACTTTACAATCAGAATAATTTCATAAATATAAAATGTTAATTGAGCATTCTGAATTTCATGAGGGTAAGGACCACAGCCTGTGTTTACTCATCGAATATAGTGCCTGGCACATAGTATATGCATAATAAATATTCACTGGATGGGCCAATGAAGAAACAAATGAACATCAGATATATCCATTTAAAAATACTTTAAAACTTTGATATAATTTTGGATTTTTGGAAAAGTTGCAAGAGTAATACAATTTCAGATAGCTTTCACCCAGATTCCACGAGTAGCATTTTACTACATTTGCTTTATCCTTCTCTCTTGCAAAAGATATTTTCTTAATGGTTAAAAGCAATTTCCATATAAAAAGTCCCTAAGTGTCAAGAAAAGGATGCTGAGATCACAGAGCATGCCAGATGAACAAGTGGTATCTGAGTTAGTGAGGACCTCCACGCAAGGGCTTTATATTTTGTCACTACACAAAATTCCTATCATAATGGGGTCTACACCAATTGGGAAAGTACTGAGATGAGGATTAAGGAGGAAAATAATAATAATAATGGAACCAAAGCAACAATGTACCATCAGAGAACATACTTAAAAGGAAAGATACATTCTAGGAAGTCCAACTGTAGGGGAAAGGTTCCTGGTAGTCCAGCAATGTGTTGCTGTTGTTAAGGGCCGTTGAGACGGTTCAACTCATAGAAACCCTGTATAGAGTTTCCAAGAAGTTGCAGGTGAGTTTGAATCAGCGACTTTGTGGTTCAAACTGACCTTGTGGTCCAGTGTTTAGCTTTATTTGTGGTTTAGAAGAGAATACTTTTCAAACTGTGTATTTTCTTTTCTTTTCTTTCTGAAACTTTATTTTTCAAGTCAATACTATCCACCAAATGACAGATTTCTGCTATGAGTTATCACGGACGCATAACCACATTAATGAAAGAATGAGTGTCACTTTTAGCCATAGTCACAGAGCATGCTATTAGAGACTCAGCTGAGTCTGTATCTGTTAAGAAATGAAAGCTACAGAAGCCTGGGAAACATGTGTTTTGAATAGACTAACCAGGAAGTTAAGTTTATATGCTTCACTGAAAGTTTTTGAAACATAAGTCCTTCAAGTGCATTAGGAAATCTTTAGTATGATCTCAGACATTCAATAGCAATTCATTGGAAAACTTAAATCTAAGCCTGTTATATTTCACTTTGGAGCCCTGAAAGCGTAATGGGTTACAAGCTGGGCTGCTAACCACAAGGTCAGCAATTCAAATCCACTAGCTGCTTCAAGGGAGAAAGGTGAAGCTTCCTGTTCCCTTAAACATTTATAGCTTCAGAAACCCTATGCAGGGTTGCTATGAGTTGGAACGTACTTGACGGTATACAACCACCATATAGGGTCATTATGAGTCAGAACCGACTGGACAGCACATAACAACAACAATATTGAATGGAGAAATCTGGTGTAGTGAGATAGAATAAGCACCAGACTGCTACCACAAAACCAGCAGTTCAAATCCACCAGACACTCTGCAGAAGGATGAGGATTTCTGCTCCTGTAAAGATTTATAGCCTCCGAAACCCTATATAGGGACGACATGAGTTGGAATCAACTCAACAACAGACAATCACCATCACACACTTCGCTTGCTTTTCACAAAGAAAAAGTATTACATGGACACGGACATGCTCTGGTCCTTTCACTAAGTATGACAATAGTAAGACTCTGGTGACTCTCTGGGATAAGCATTGAACTTCTAAACACAAGGTTTACAGTCCAAACCTACCAGTCATTCTGTGGGAGAAAGATGAGACCACCTTCTCAAGTAAAGATTCCTAGTCTTGTAAACCCTGTTTAAGGTGCTATGAGGCGGAACCAACTCCATGGCAGTGGGCTGGATGGGTGGTTTGGTGGCGCTATGGTTAAGCACTCAACTGCTAATCAAAAGTCTGGCAGTTCAAACTCACCCAGTAACCCCGCTGGAAAAAGACCTGGCAATCCTGCTTCTGTAAAGATTGCAGCCTAGGAAGTGGGTCTATCCTATGGGACAGCTCTGCTCTGTCACATGAGGGGCTATAAATGAGAACTGACTTAATGGCACCCAATAGTAACAAGACAGACTTATCTAGGACAAGGAGATAAAACACAGACTTTGGGACTAAAATGATTTCATTAAACACACATCAAGCACTTGTGGTTTCAATTTCCCAAATGATAATCAATACCTTGCCCCTAAGAGGCATACCACATGTTTTCAAAAACTGGTATTTAAGGCATTCTACAAAAAAAAAAAAAAAAAAAGATCAGTGACGAGTCCAATGAATAGGGTAAGCCATTGAAAACAGTACTTCAGCATACCTGACAATTCTTGTTTTACAAAAGAAAGCACAGCCAGGTAAACTTGACAGTCAGCTATGATTATCTGCCTCTGTAGCCGATCAACCGTGGAGGGGGAGGATTTTCGGACATCAACCTGTTCAGTGGAAGGAAAGTACACACCATTAAATCACACACAAGAACAATAATCCTTCCAAATAACTATTACGTTACTGTGCAAAATAATTTAACGGAGGAAGTGTGAAACACAGCCATCATTCAGAGCAAAGACCCAGTTACCAGTAGGAGCCTGGTAACTCCCACTAGGTCTAGCTCTGTTTTGTTAATAGCACAATGCCGAAGAGCACTATAACTCAAAGGCAAATATTATTATATAAATGATGAAAACTGAATTCATATGAAAACACACAAAAAACTTCAAATGTTTACCTTTTAAACATTTGTTAAAAATAATGTTAATTCTCACTTTTCCAAATTTAAATTCATCGAAGGATATAACCTACTATCTTTGCAGCCTTCTTGGGTGGTTGTTGTTAAGTGACTCATAGTGTCCTGGGCCAACTTCACAATTGTTGCCACACTTGAACCCACTGATGCTGTCACTTTGCCAATCCATCTCGCTGGGGGTCTTCCTCTTTTTCTCTGACCCTCCTCCTTACCAAACATGACATCCTTCTCCAGTGACTGGTCCCTCCTGACAATATGTCCAAAGTATGAGAGACGAATTTTGGCCATCCTGGCCTCCAAGGTGCACTCTGGCTGCACTTCTTCCAACACAGATCTGTTTGGTTTTTTGGCAGCCCGTGGCACTTTCAATATTCTCCTCCAACACCATAACTCAAGAGCATCAATTCTTCTACGGTCTTCCTTATTCACTGTCCAGCTTTCGCATGCATATGAGGTTATTGAAAATACCATGGCTTGGGCCAGGTGCACCTTAGTCCTCAAGCTGACATCTTTGCTCGTCAAGGCTTCAAAAAGGTCTTGTGCAGCAGATTTGTTTGATGCAATGCGTCATTTGATGTCTTGACTGCTGCTTCCATGAGTGTTGATGGTTGATCCAAGGAGAATGCAGTCCTTGACAACTTCAATCCTTTCTCCAGTTGATAAGAATGGTGTTTATTGCTGTAGGATAAACACTGAAGTGCTAGTTGTGTGAGCAGCTAACTGTGCTAACTGCAAGGCCTGTGGGTCAAACCCACCAACTGCTCTAGGAGACTCTACACAGGGTTTCTCAGAGTTGGAACCAACTTGATGGTACACAACCACCACCACCTTCAGGGAGTACTAATAAGAAGGTGTATTCCCTTGGCAAAAAGATGTGAGGGTCAGAACTGACTGCATTTCAATTATGGGGAAAATACCCAGGAATTAAGTATTAGTTTTAAATAAAACACATGCTGAATTTGAAATTTAAGCACTACATGGTGCTGTAAGACAGACACTGGACTGCTAACCACAAGGCACACCTTGGAAACCCTGTACAGGGTCGCTGTGAGTTGGAACAGACTCGACAACACTTAACAACAACAACATCCTCGAATGTGGCTGTCTCTATGGAATATGCAAAAAACTCAAACCTCAAATCCCACTTTTTTCAAAATGTTAGTCTTTATCCTGAAGAATTTTTTTAAACTTGAGTGAAGAAGGTTTACAGAGCAGATCAGTTTTCCATTCAATAATTCATGTACATTTTGTTTCATGTCACAAACTGCAATCCCTACAATGTAGCATCACCATTCCTACACTGCGTTTCCCATTTCCATTTCCCCTTCTTACCTAACCCTTCTGAACTTTGTCCTTGAGTAACTTCTGCCCTTTCCATTTCCTATAATTGATGGTTCTACGGAGTGTGTGTCTCCCTAGAGTTACTGTTCACCTTACGTTGTTGTTAAGTGCTGTCAAGTTGGTTCCGACCTATAGTGACCTGGTACAGGGTTTCTGAGGAGCAACTTGTGACCTTGCACTGCCGATCTTCTGTTTCAAACCGACTTTGCAGTCCAGCGCATTAACCCACAGCGCAGAGCTTTCTACTGTCTGAGTGTTGAGCCATGGGGGTGAGGTTACTTCAGGTCTGATGGGTGACTGAGGGCCACAGTCTTGGGGTTCCACCAGTCTCTATCCAACCACTAAGTCTGGTCTTTTTAATGATTTTGAGTTTTATTTTGTTTTCTATTTTTCTCCCACTCTATGAAGATTATTTTGAAAACAAAGGAAGACCACTGTGCAATAGAGTATCATACATCCTCAGGATGCAGTAAACGTAAGCAAAATAAGCTAAATATCTTTCATAATAATATGAGAAGTAATCCAAGAAATTTCTTGGGATTTTTGCAAATAAGCCACAGTACGCACCGTAGAATGATCTGTTCACCTTTTCCCGGATTTTAGCCTAATCCACTAAAGGCACTGCTTTTCCGATTCTAGCCCCAGCACTCACTACTGTGTTATTTTGGGCAAATGTCAATCTACTAATGCTTCCATTTCTTTGTTTGTAATAACACCTACTGATACCGAGAGAACATGCACTTAATAACTCTAAAGACTAAAAGGGGCTTCCATTGTTTTCAGAAATGCAATTTACATAATCAGAAGCCACAAGAAACGGTGCTTTCCTTTTTTCGGTCATGTTCTAAATATCTCAAACTGAGTAAACGCTTTTAAGTACGGCGCACGGTTCATAACTGAATGCCAGAGGACTTACATTCTTCTTGATCTTATTCTTGATTGTTTCAATGACCCCAGCCTCTTCACTTTCACACAGCTTTTCAGTTGTTTTTAAGTCATCACAAGCCAATTGCATTTTTTCTTCCTCGAAGGTCATCATGGCATTCTCCCAAAAAAAATAGATAAATAAAGAGAGAATGAATGAATCAGGACATACCTGAAATTTATGACAATGTATTACAATAAAACTCCAAACTAGAAAAAAATCACACAGATTATATGCTGCAATCAGAAAATTACAGAACACCCAATTTATCTTAAAGAAACTGTACAATCTCAAGAAAAAAGAGGAATATACCTCTAGGATACCAGAATGAAAAATACAAGGCAATAAGCATCCTTGTAATTATATAATTTTGCTGCTGTTGCTAAACACAGGAACAAAAACTCTAATTTCTAATTGGTCACTAAATTCTGTTGTTATTATTATGGTGTCTCATTCATCTTTGCCCACATGTGTACCTCTGGCTCCACCAAGGCCTGGCCAGAAATTCTAATGGAACACTAACTAGTAGGTGTTCTTCGATTATTATCCATCTTTCCAGGGGAAGGATCTTCAAAGGGTTCGCTGCATATGAATTCACGTAATACATTCCATGCATGGATGGCTAGCTTCTAGGCACCTGATCCTGGCAGGTTTTTCATGCCACATCTGACAGGGAAGAGGCAATCCCATCTCTGTTAGAAATCAGTAGAAGAACTGAGGCTTCTGAGCTAAGTGGGCCACAGGGGCAAGGCAGAGTCCATGGCAGGACACCTGCTCTTGGAGATACCTGATGAACTTGTTGGGTCTGGCATTCTATTTTCCATCACAAGTAGACAGCTCCTCTTTGACATGCTAGGTGGTACCACTGTAACCTGCATTCCCATTCTGGCCAACCCAAACCAGGGTCACCTCTGCCCAAGCCTCCCTGTCACACTCTTCTTCCCCCGCAGCTGCTGAAATCTCAACCCTCCTCAAACACCATGGTCTCCCTCCCCTTCTCCATCCTCCACACCATCTAGTTTACTGGGTACTAATTTTATGATCCCTACTGCATTTCCACGGTACTTAACAACAATTACCTTTTTGCAAATAAACCAGTAGCTGTTAAGTCGATTTTGCCTTTGAGTCCTTTTCTGCAATGAGTAGAAATGTACTCCACAGAATTTTCAATGGCTGAAATCTTATGGAAGTACATCACAGGCATCCAAGGTCTTTCGTCCATGGATGGATTCAAATTATCAACCTTTTGGCTAGTAACTGGGTGCAAACTGCTTGCACCACCCAGAAACCATATACATTTACAAATAGGAGGCCTTACATTCTTGTTACATTAACTGGTAATACGAGGAAATACATTGGCTGAGAAGCCCATCTCACCAGCAGCTGGCCTAGTTGTTGGGCTTGGCTGTTGCAGGCTGAGTGCCATTTGCCCGGTTTCTTATACCCGCTAAATCTCAAATCTGAATGTCTTCTTTTATTTCTCTCTCTCTCTCCACTCATGACTTTTGTTGTTTTTGTTGCTAGCTGCTATTTAACTGTGGGAATTGTTGAAAATTATGTGTTTATAAGTAGTTTATGTAACATTATAAGCATCTCTGAAAAATGAAAGTATCTAATTTTCTACATTGCTCAGCTGACGTCAAGGCCTAAATGCACTCTATCTGCTCAATTCCTAAATAACAGTTTTTGAAAAGGTAACATTAACTGACAAACTTCAGCTCTGTGAATCTAACTTGTCTTCCAGTTCATATACTCAGTAATTTTAGAAAACATCTTTATTACTCAAATTCAGACTTTTTTTTTCCCACTGTGGCGCTGTGGGTTAATGCGCCAGACTGCAAAGCCATTTGAACTGCAAACTCGGACGTTCAAGCTCACCAGTTGCTCCTCAGGAACTTGATACAGGGGCGCTATGGGTTGGAACCAACTCGATGGCACTTTACAACAACAATGACCCTAATGCCATTGTAAATTTTGGAGAAATTTTTCAATTACATTTTTATTCTAAAAGGATTTTGGTTGGAAAATATGTAATGTTCTAGAAGTAAGGTACTGACATTTTATTTTTTTAAATTAGGGAAGAGCGATCATCTCAAAGACTGGTTAACAGGCAAAAACATTATTTCCATTTTTAACTTAAAAACATATTCCACAGTAGTATATTTATAGGGAAGAAGTCATTAACAGACATATTTTATGTTTATTTCCTTCATTCCAAGGCCTCTTCCCATATCAACTTACCAAAAAACTGACAAAGCTGGCTCCAAAACTCATTAGTGGGCTATGGTTTCTGTTAAAGAAACAAAATAAAATTATTTCTATTGTAAATTTGTTTCAGAAGCACTTGAAATACATTATCCCAACAACTGAACAGAAAAGGAGGTCTTCAAGCTGATTAAATTACCCTATGGAAAAAGTTACAGAGACAAGGTGTTTCATAGCTCTCTGCCAGAATAGAATCCGCCCCTTACTCTCCAAAGCACGGCAAACAATAAAGCTAAAAGATACAAAGACTGCTTAGTAAGACTCATAATTATAGCTAGTAAAGAGCTGACAGTTATCACAATGATCTTAGAGATGATCTGACATCTGCAAGAACATGGCCAAAAGAAGATGAGCAATATTCATTTTTAAAAATGAAAACTTGTTCAAAAGTATATGCACAGAAAATAAGTGTAATTTCTAGAGTTAAGATCAAAGGGTTTCACGGAGGAGTCAGTCCTCACAAACTCACTCTCCAACCAAAGAACGTTAAGAATGCCTCCCTTGTCATTCAGCCATAATCCGATTTCGTGGGTAAGTCAGTCGTAAGACAAAATCAAACTGACACCAAGACAATTTAAAAAATAACAAGCTTTCTGCCTCAAATCAAGACCAGTCCAAAATGCCGATCTTTAGCTTTTGGTTTATCTAAGGAAGTGGTTACAGAGAAGAGATAGGATCTGCAAATTGTACTAAAGGGAAAAGCAAGTTGTAATTGCCTTCTTAATGAAAATCACATTACTGATTTTTACATTATGCCAATAATGCTGTTATTGTTAAGTGCCGCCGAGTTAGTTCTGACTCATAGCGATCCTGCATAGCCTTTCCGAGGATCAGCTGGTGGGTCTGAACTGCTGTGGTAAACAGTCCAATGCTGACCCTACAGTGTCACACCAGGAGTCCACGGCAATAATAGCTGGTCACTATTAAAAAAAAAAGGATGTAACAATTTATTTAGTCAAGTGCCTACTGGATATTTAGAGGGTATGAGTGTGGGAGAGAACATGTGTGTCTTTATGTGTATATGTACACACACATATATAGTCCATGTTCAGATGAACATCTTTGTACATATATTTTTGCAGGCCAGTCCAAATATATCCTTGGTTCAAGGCTAAAGGGAACATTGCTGAGTTAGAGGGAATGCAAATACAGTTTTCTCTTGGAGTGTAATATGTGTATTTGTCTGTGTGTGTGTGTGTGAAAGAGAGGGGATAGATACAAAATTGCTTTGTATATACTTTGTTTTGTAGATTTCATATTCTCTCTGTGTGAGAAAGACAGATGAGATAGATTGGAGATTCTACTGGGAATGTTAATCTTCTGCAACAATTTTCTTTTACATCTGTTTGATACCTATCCAACAGTCTACAGTTAATAAAAACTATTTACCCCCACTTAATAGGATACTTGTGGAATCCTGATGTGGCGCTGTGGGTTAATGCGCCAGATTGCAAAGTTGTCAGCAGTTCAAGCTCATCAGTCGCTCCTGCGAAACCCTATAGAGGGTCACTATGGGTTGGAACCAACTCAACGGTACTTAACAACAATAGAATACTTGTAGATCTCAGCCATCAGCCACTCTTCAAATGAGCAATACTCACTTGTTAACAGAGAATTTGGTGGTTTGAACCCACTAGCTCATGAACAATGGGGTAAATACCCTTAACCGCTCTAGCCTGGAAGCTACTGTGTATTCTGTTCCCCCTGCCAGAAACATTCTTCCTGTTCCTCTTTCACAGCACAAAGGCCATCACACACCCACCTCTATCAGTCAGTCTCACAGTGTTTTATTTTACTGTCTGTAGAGGACTTTCAGGGAGCACAGTGGTTCCACATGAGAAGCACTGGGCACTGAACCACAGGCTCCACAGTTCAAGTCCACCAGCCGCTCCCTTCAAAATATAAAGCCTTGGAAACCCTATACAGGGGGCCTATGAGTTGGAACCAACTCAACAACACTTAATAGCAATATAAAACTTAAACCTCTAAGTAAAAAAAAAAAAATAGGTAAAGAAAAATTCCAAGCCAGCACTTATAAACCTACTTCAAATCAAATACTCATATCAAATCTGTTATGAAGTCTCTATCATTCCTGCCTTCTACACCAATATAGATGTTCAGTTTTACCATTCTACAACACTATATGGACATGCATGAGTTATAATTTTATGGACATGTAAGTCTCCCCTAAAGTGCTACTTCCTGTCTTTGTTCTGTCTTCATAGTGTCTTGAGCATTCAACACATCTTGAGCATTCAACAATTATGAATCAGTGAATGAATGGAAGACAAAGAGCACTGTCCTTAGGGAAGAATCACGTTCAATTCAGGTGCTGATTACAATACAATGCCTTTCCCCCTCCTTTCCCTTCCCTTGCTTTTATGTTGATCATGTTGCCATTTAAGAGATAAAAGAAGCTGCAACTAGGGACTATCAGTGTTGCTACATTTGCTTCTTGTTCTTGACTAAAATTAGATTTCTAAGAGCCAGAGAAATTAATTATTCATGTTAGCCTAGCCCTTATTACTTCATATACTATCTCATCATTGAAGTGAAGACACTAGCAACCACGCACCAGGAGCATTTTCCCCTTGAAATACAAATTCCGAAAGCCCCATAGCACTTAGGCACGCTGATGGTGGTAGTGGTGGGTTATATGCTATCAAATCTGTTCTGACTCACACTGTTGTTAACTGCCATCAAGTTGGTTCTGACTCATAACGATACTGTATAGTTTCCGAGGAAGCAGTTGGTGGGTGTGAACTGCCAAACTTGTGGTTCACAGTCCAGTGCTGATCTGATCCTGAATAGAGTTTCCAAGACTGTAAATCTTTACAGGAACAGAAAGACTCATCATTCTCCTGCGGACCACCAGGTAGATTCAAACCACTGACTTTGCAGTTAGCAATCCACCTGGTATTCCACTACACTACCCGGGCTTCTTGAGCACACTTTTGTTGTTGTTAAGTGCCACTGAGTTGATTCTGACCCATAGCGAGCCTCTATAGGGTTTCTGAGGAGCGGCTGGTGAGTTTGAACTGCCGACCTTATGATTCAAACTGACCTTGCAGTCCAAGGCATGATCCTGCAGTGCATAACTATGCAAGGCATAATACTAGGAACTCCTCCTCAGTATTGATGGCTGGTAGCTGTGTGCCGTGGAGTCGGTTCCGACTCATAGTGACCCTGTACAGGGTTTCCGAGGCTGTAAATCTTTACGGGAGCAGAACGCCTTATCTTTCTCCCGCGGAACAGCTGGTAGCCTCAAACTGCTGACTTTGTGGTTCGCAGCCTAATTCGTAACCACTATGTAACCAGAGCTCCTTCCTCCTCAGTATTAGGAAAGCTTAAAATACCAAGGCTCAGCTTTTTAATAACTTGATTTTCCTTTAACTTCAAGTGACCCTAAATTAGCTTACCTCATCTTAATTGTAGCTTATGCATGACACTCTACATAAAACTTACTTTTAATTTGGAGATTTGGAAATGTTCCCAAAGATTAATACGATCATTGCTTCAAAGCAGATGCTAAGAGAGAAGCAAGAGTCCTAGCACATTTCCATAGTGCTTCTATTAGGAACCAGTAGACAATAACCAAAACGAGACATAAGGAATGATCGATCAAAAGACATCCAAAAGAGGGGATAAAAGGCAAGTGAAACAGACTACACAGTGAAAAACCACTTACTTCAAAGAAGGAACTAGATAAGCATGCACAAAGGGGCTTCAAAAAGTTCATGGAAAAACAGAATTGAAAGATAATGGAATTGTTAGAGGAACCTTTTGCAGCTCTTTATATAAGGTGAAAGAGGGAATCGGGAAGTTGAAACCAAGATATAAGGAAAACTGCTTTGGATAAACTTTTCTTAGTAGATTTGACTTTGGACCCATGTAAATACTGTATATAATTATTAAAAGATTGAATTTTAATATTTCAATCCCTAAAAGTCCAAAGTAAAAGGAAAAATCAAGTTGGTGAAAAAACCAGTGTAGAACGAATCCAAGCGGTGCTAGAACACAGTAACTCGTCAGTACATCCCTACTATGAAATATAGCCAAAAAAGATATTAAACAACAACAACAAAAGTCTTAATCTATTTCCATAATCATATGCCTTCTGGTCAAGATGGACTAGCTATTCCAAGGCTGCTGGGTGTGTAATTTGTAATAAAGTAAAGGAATAATTATGTTGGCGTTTGTTGAGACCCAGGATTTTCTGCATAGGAGATAGGACCATGAAACGATCCAGAATAGGCAGGTGTATAGAGACCATAATTTATAGTGGTTACCGAGATGGGAGGGGGAAGGAGAGGAGCACTCAACTGCTGAGTGTCTGTTTGTGGAAATGTAATTGGTGTCACTGAATTACCTATTGTAAAAACTGTTCAACTGGCAAATGTTGTGTTATGCAAATACTGCTCACAACAATAAATAATAAGAACTAGAAGAATCAATACAAACTCTTTATATTTTGTTAGCGCTTAAGAAATACCTATTTCCTAGCTCTGTCCACTAAAAAAGGCCTAGACAACTTGGACATGGGCTACCCAAAATGGGGAGGTTGAGACTCTGCAAAGGCAAGAAGTGACTGGCTTACAAGCTTTCAAGAGGGAACCTAGATCCAGAGGATGTGGGGAAAGGTAGAATCTCCAGTGAGTAGTATCCAATCTGTCTGGGTGGGGCCGATTAAATGCAGATAGGTCTCTTGTGATACAATAGTGAATAATTGTTATCAGGACTGAATGTGAGGGTTGGAAATGTAAAGGTAGACATTTTGTAGCAAGGAGGGGAGTGATTAATATTTCAGTCTAGGAGTGGAGGTCCTTGGGACCATCATGGGAGAAGAGCTGAGAGCAGGACCCTACCCAGAGAAGCAGTGAGGCCAGAGATGGAGGCAGAGACAATGTCGTGGAGAAATGGAGCAGCTGGAGACTTTAGATCCAGAGACTGGGAGGGGCTGTGTGCTGACAACCTGGGTGCAGGCTTGTAGGATGATGAGGCATGGAGGGGATTGTAACCATGGCA